TGTGGTCGTGGGTTCGAGCCCCACGGTCGGCTATCATCTTTTCCCTTTTTCTCTATCCGGCCTTTTGTTTTGAATGGGGGTTGCGTCGATAAACAAGGTTGGACAAACCAAAGTGGCTGCTCAAAGCTTGGCCCAGTACTCGTTGAGCCACTTCTCGATGAGCATGGCCTCCTGCTCTCTCGCGCGCTGCACGTAGACCGGGTCCTCGGGCGAAGGCGCCCAGAGGTCGAGGTGGTGCGCCGCCTGCAATCGGGCACCAGTCGTCAACAAAAGCGACTCGGCCACAACACACGGCGGTACGCACCTCAGGAATAACGATCGCTACGAGTGAGTCGGAGAGGGAGTGGAGCACTCCGCTCGTGTGCCAGGGATCTACCGGCCATTGAGGTACCCATATGTCAGCATGATGTCATCCTCTCTGCTATGTGGCAGCACGTACCCAGCAAGCCATTGGAGAAAATGATGTTGCTCGACGAGGTGAGGTTGAAGCCGCCGAATTGAATTCGTGCCCTGCATATGTACGTCAGCTCGTATTCGCCGGCAACAAAGGGCGAATGATGAATGATGAATGAAGATGGTGTTTCTGTACGCACCAGTTGGGACGGAGGGTGACACCGAACTGCTGCTGGCATTGCGCGATGTCGGACGTGAGGTTGTACGCCGCCCGAGGGAAGATGCCAGAGCTGCCCGACGGAATATAGACCTAATCGAGCGGGTGAGTTACGAGCCGAGACCAGCAAGCTAGAGAAGTTATGGATACGCACCTCGGTACAGTGCAGGTAGTCCCAGCCGCAGCACTTGCCCCAATCGGGCACGTCCCTGAACAAAAGTGTTAATTGGCCCTAGGGTGCGTGCGTGCATTGGTGGAATTCCTGAGCTGCTGGGTGCGTACCGGTTGATGTCGTAGCAGGTGTGGGCGCCGGTGTTGTTGTAGAACACTCCGATGGCGTAGGCGAAGGCCTCGGCCAGCACATCGTCGTCGTTGCTGGTGGCCTTCTCCAAGAGTCGGTCGCACGTCCTGTTCACGGGCCAGCCTGCAGTGGACAGCGATCGAGTGGCGTGAGCACACGGCGGCCCCTACACGAAGTGTCGCAACGAGCAGAGCCAAGCGAAGAGAAAACGTACCGGGCAGCGAGATGCCGTAGTTGGTGGCGAAGGGGTAGTCGAGCATGGCCATGCCGATCAGGCCGCTGTCCACCCAGTTGATAACGGCCTCGGCGTCCGCCTGCGAGTTGAGCGGGCTGCAGAGCTTGAAGGCCGCGGAGAAGCGCGCGCGGCCGTCCGACGTGGCGGAGAGCTTCTGGAGCACGTCGAAGGCCCGCGAGACCAGAGGCGCGCAGCCTGCGCGATTGCGGGCGCGGACATAGAGTGCGCGCACAGTACGTGAGGCCCATGGACGAGAAAGAAAACAACAAACAGGCAAAGTTACCAGGGCGCGCCTGGGCGAACGTGTCCGAAGCGCTGTCAGTGAACGCGTACGGGCTGATGCCAGTGCCGTAGAACGCCAGCGGTGCTGTGCGCGAATAGTGGAAGCATGTTGAGTGATATGAGCACAATGGCTGGCCGTCACAAGAAGAAGCCTACGTACCAGAGGCAGAGAGGCCGCCCATGACGATGTCGGGGTACTTGGATCGGAACCAAGCCGTCAGGATGCCGCCGTAGCTGCCGCCGAAGGCGAACACGGGGCAGTTCTTGGCGTGCGGCAGGGTCTCCTTGAGGTGCGTGATGAGCACGGCGTAGTCGGCCAGCGCCTGCTCGGGCGACAGGTAGCTGATCTTCTCGGGATCGAACGACTTGGACCCGAACGGCATGCTCTCTCCGAAGTACCTGTGCTCTATACGCCGTGTTCAGTGAGCGTGTGCGGTGATGGTTGTGTGCGGTGATTTGGCGTGTGCGGTGTGCGTGTGCGGTGATTATGTGCGTGTGCGTGCGCGTGCGCGGTTATGAGTGGACCGTACCGGCGAAGACGAGCAGGGCGTTGTGCTTGGGCGCAAGCACCTGCGTGAAGAAGCCCGCTCCGGCGTAGTAGTCCGTCACCGGCGACTCGTTGCCCGTGTAGAAGAAAATAGGACCCTGTTTGGGCCAATATGAAATCAATTTATGATTAGTATTATTGTTGATTAATAATTAAATCAAAAATAATGGGGGCGTACTGGGCAGCCTCCGGGGTAGGAGCCGCGCCAGTAGTCGTCGGCCATGAGGAAGCGCTGCTTGTAGGTGGCCGGTTTGGTCGCAAAGTTGAAGTGATCGAGCGTCTGGTCGAAGTAGAGGGTGCGGTAGACCGGCGCTGGCGGCAGCCCGAAAGATTGAGTGGCTGAAGCATCTCCCGCGCCGTGGGGGGTCAGCGTACGCGCGCCTCCCGGCAGAATGGCGCCGTCGACCACCGAGACCACGGCCAAGCAGGCGAGGACCACCACAAGGCCCCAGACGCACGTCTCCTTTCTCCGCTGCTCCATCTTCAAACAAAGAAAGCCTTGCGCTTGCCGGCGATTGCACCAAAGAAAAAGCTGGCGCTAATTGGCCACAATTTAACCCGGAATGCTCGGTATGTTGATCAAGTTTTGGCTGTACACTTTGGTCTCGCAGGCTCACATGAGCACACACTTGTGGTGGTTATCGGATCCGTCGACGGCGGCGCTGTGTCGCCGTCCGGAGGTGAGCGACTTGACGCGGGAGCCGACCGTGCCCTTGCGTCCGCTCCTCTTGCTCTTCTTCGTCTGTCTGCCCGTGCCCAGTAGGACGGCCTTCACCGCCGTGTCGAACACGGTCTTCAGGTTCTCGCCCGTGATCGCCGAGCACTCCACGTAGTTGACCGCCCCGATGCTTCGAGCCAGCTCCAGCCCTTCTTCTCCGGCCACTGGCGTCTGATGGAGTTGCGTTGGGTCACTTTACATTAGATCTCTCTTGTTTTCGGTCAAAGGCTGGGCGTACGCACCTGCCCCATCGCCTTGAGCTGATCGAGAATCATTGGGTCACTTCGAAGATCGGCCTGTGGTGTGGCGCGGAGCGTAAATGCTACGATTAGTACCTGAGCCACGTCACATTGCAGAGTGCTCTCTAGCGGTACCTTGGTGCCCACGAGCACGATGGGCGTGTCGGGGCAGTACTGTCTGAGCTCGGGGATCCATTTGTAGGGCACGTTGTGCATGGAGGTCCGGCTCACCAGAGAGAAGCAGACCAAGAACACGTCAGTCCCAGCGTACGAGAGCGGCCGGATGCGGTCAAAATCCTCCTGGCCAGCCGTGTCCTGAACCCCGCGGTACATTTGCTTGTTACAAACATGTGAATACAACGTGTGATAAAGGTGGTCAGCATGTACCCACAGACTGAGCTCGATCTCGTGATCGCCGGCGGACAAGTTTACAATGTAATTGTCAAAGACCTGAAGTGTGTGGGCGTCAGCCAGTGCAACACGATCCTGCGTTTCGGCTTCTTCTAGTTGTGACGTACCGTGGGGACGTAGTCCGTGGGCGCCTTGTTGGTGGAGTATGCTGAGGGGACAGGGTACCAGGGAAGTGAGCAGAAGGAAGAGAATCAGCGCGGAGAGGGGGGACGTACCTATGAGGAGGCAGGTCTTGCCCACTGCGCCGTCGCCGACGACAACCAGCTTCACTGAGTGTCTGTGTGCTGCCATCTCTTCTTGACTTGTAGTTTTGCTGGGGTTGGGGTGCTCTGTGGAAAAGGCCTTGCAAACCTGAGTGGCCAGAGATGCGGATAACACTTCAAGGGTTTGGTGAAGGACTGGCTAACTGTACCTGAATGGTGTGCCGATGATGGGAGTCGCTACAATGACGGCCTGTTGTTGAGGCTGAAGTGTGGAAAGAGAACAAGGCGCGAAGAGGGCTCTGTTCTCAAATGGGCGTTTGGATGAAGTGATGGACGAGGTGGGCAGGTTGCGGGCCACCCTCGTGCATGCCATAGAGACGCCGGACGCGTCGGAGGTCACCTGTGGACCGCCTCCAGTAGAAAACCGGCACAGATTTGCATGGAAAGGAAAGAAAATCCCATACCACAAAGAAATGTTAAAGGAAAATGTAACTTGAAGGTGGTGCCGCGGGAGGAGGGACATGACCACGTAGTGAGAGGAGTGAAGAAGCAAAAGGAGGAGGAGGATACGGCACGGTGGATTCCCGGGTGGTCGCCCACCCCAGTACTAACACCGCCTGGCGCAGCTTAACTTCGCTGTTCGGATGGGAAGCGGTGCTTTCTGCGCAGTATGGCCGTATCCGACAACCACTAGCACTCTTCGCCGCGTGACTTCCCTCTTCATGAGAATCACGAAGAAGAGCAGTCAGCCAGTCATGACAGGGCTACTGAAGATGAAAGATGGTGGTGTAATGCAGAAAATTGGTTTGGTGTACATAATAAAGGCACCGCCCATGCTACTAATGGGGTCGTTGGCGTTCAACGTGGAACGACGACTCTTGTGGGGACCTAGTTCGAGGTGAAGATGGAGCTCCTCTTGTTCTGGCCCGTGACGGGCGAGTAGTAGGACTTTCTGTTGTACTCGTCCAGTTGCATCCGAGCCCTCTCCTCTGCACGGTTGAAAGGCCAGCGTCAGCACTACGACAAGTGTGATGACGCGTGCGAGTGCTGGTGGTGTGTGTGCGCGTGTGTGCGAGAGTTATGTAAGCGACGGTACCTGGAGTGCCATACTTATCGTACATGGCGTTGCGCCTGGCCTCACCTTCTCGCCTCCTCTCCTCCTTCCTTGGCTGTTGTCGTGCGTCGTGTTGCGTTGGGGATGAGTCAGACTGGGCAGCTGACAGGTAAAT